CAGGGGGCAGGAGACAAAAAATAAAATAAAAGACAAAAAATAGTCCGTTTAGACTTGGAAAAAGTCCTCTGCCTCCTGAAGAAGGCTAACTTCGTTAATTGGTCTGCTCAAGAAACCAGTCTTGGTCTTGATCCGAAGCATACGTACGAGTCCCTTTTCTTCTTGTTTGCCACCATGTTCTCCATCCGAGGGATCTCAATCCTCTTTTCCTCTGTGGCTTTTTAGACTCTTTAATCGTTGGCTTCTATATGTTGACACTATTTCCATATTCACACCAACATTTCAGTAAGCTGGAAAAAAGAGAAAAGGAGGAGTTTCAAACGTCTCTCAATTTGACTTGTTCCAAACTAAGATGGCAGCCGGAAGTGTAAACCTGTCTTATTCTTCTTCCTCGTTGGTTTCGCTTGCAATTTAATATCTTGTAGTTCCTCTTTGATAACATGTTTTTCTGCTTCCATTCCTGGTGCTTTTTGATTGTTCATCTGGATTTCAAGAGCCTTATACGCTTCTTCTTCTTGTGAAAGTTCACATTTCAGGTTTGACATTTGGCTCATTAATCCGTGTACCTTCAGCTGTTGACTGGCAATTTGTTTTTCAAGCTGCCCTCTCTCTTTAGCTTCCCTCTTCCTTCTCTTCTTATGTTCCTTCATCGATTTAGCTTCCTTCCTCACCTCATTCTTTTGTTCCTCCTCTATTTCTCCACCTTTCTCTTGCTCAGGCTCACCGTCTTCACTGTCAATGGGAGCACGGATAATTCTCTTGCTCTTCTGGGCCCCTTTCTCTTTCCTATCACCCTTCTTTTCTGCCTTTTCAGTGTCCATCTCCTCTCCGCTGAAAGCAGATAAGACCAGCGCTTCGGCCATGTTTACACTTAATGAAGTTTTGTCCCGAGTATCATCAGGACATCCTCCTAATGGTCCACTAACTGTCCATCCGAGCATGGTTTTCACGGCATAAGGTCCATCCCCCACACTCCTGATTACATCAATTGGTTCAAGGGCTTTTGGAACATCTGAACCAATCAGCAACTCAATTTCAGCGTCAATTTCAGGTAGACAAACATCCCTCAAATGCAACCATTGATTGATGTCGTTTTGACGTGGAATGTTTCCTTTGTGCACGGGCATAGTCTTCTGAGTGTATATGCCGGGGAGATCACAAAAGTTGCTGTTATGCAGTCCAGCAACCTCTAGGCCTGACACAATGCTGGTTTCAACGACCTTCCTTTGACCAATAGTTCTCAGCAGAATGTTTGACCTTCTTCCTTGGAGGTTAAGTTTGTTCATGAGGCCTAATGTGCAAAACGAAGCAGTGCTGCCTGGGTCAAGAAATGCATAGGTACGCACTGTTGTGTTCCCCTTTTGGGCTTTAACTTGGACTGGTACTATGGAGAGTTTGCAACCATCTTCACCGGCCCCAGTAAGGCCACCTGTCTGAATTGAGGCTTCAGCAGTGTTTGCCGATGCTTCTTCCATTTCCTCCTGCTCATTTTCCATTTCCTTCCTTTGTTGGTAGATGTGCAACATTCTGGGATGATTTAGATTGCATATGTTGCACCTCATTCGTTTCCTGCAGTCTCTACTTATGTGTCCTTTACACAGGCAGCCAAAACAAAGACCATTTTCTTTAAGAAATGTGATTTTTTCATGATGTGTCCTCCTTGCTAACTGTGGACACATCTCCAGAGCATGTTCACATCTACAATACAAGCAGTTTTCTACAGTGCTTCTGTCATATTTATTTTCTGTAACCTTCACGTTGGTTGCAAAGATGCTTCCACTTGGATGAGGCTGTGGCCTTCTTATGTCTTTGCTTACGGGAGGGGGGTCTTTAATGTCCCCAAATATGGGATCTGTAGCAATTTTTACTTGCCTTTCAAGGAATTCCACAATATCCTTGAAGGCAGCTCTTTGGTGGTGTTTTTCCTGGATGTCACATGCTACAGTTCTCCATAAATCCCTCAGCCTATATGGAAGTTTCTTTAAAATGGCTAGCATGTTTGCTGGAATGTTGAGCTCAAACATGTAGTTGACATCTTCCATCGCATTGCAACATCCTCTAAGGTAGACCGTGTATGTCTGTAGAGCCCTTGTGTCCTCAGCCCTTATTAATGGCCATGAAAGAGCTCTTTCCATGTATGCTGTAGCAATTGTATGTTCATTGCCAAAGTTTTGTTGTAGTAACCATTTGGCCTTGCTGAATCCACTGTCTGAGGCCATATGTTGGCAACTCCGTACAAGGTCTCTGGGCAGTCCTGTTGTATATTGCTCCAGGTAGTAGAGGCAGTCTCTGGGGTTATTGTTTTTGCTTTCAATATTGAATTCGAAAGATCTCACAAATGTTTGGTACTGAAGTGGGTCACCATTAACCACTGGAATGTCTTTCTTGGGCATGGATGATAGACACTGTTTCTGGATTAATAAAGCGGTTATTTCATTTTGTTTTTCCATGACTGAAAATATATTGCACTTGTCACTGTTGCTTGTGGCAGTTACTGGATCTGGAGATGTTACACGTAGATGTTCATCTAGATTCCTGATGCCTGCATTGGGTGTTAGGGGAGCTGTATCAATGTTAGTGACAGCTCTGTCTGTGGTGGTTATGATTGGTTGTTTTAATGTTACAAACTGTATTTCCCTTTGTCCCGTTTCAAAATATGACTGCATGCCATTGGATGATATAGAACAATTAGCTGATCCCCTGGGGGCTGCTAACACTTTCATTTTTGCAATGGTGGCAGCAATGTTTCCTTCCAATTCCATTTGCTCCTTTTTCCTCCTCAATTCCTGCTCCTGTGCTTCCAGGACATGTTTGTCCTTTACCAGTTTTTGGAGTACTTTCATGGCTGCCACTTCGGCCTCAGCTTTTATGTGTGCAGATGCGGTGCTGGAAACTCTTGATCTTGAGCTTTGCCTGCTTTTTCTGCTACCAATGTTTGATATGCTGTCACCAGGTTGTGTATCATCTTGTGTGCATGATGTAGCCTTCATGTTTGACGGGGGAAAGAGAACGTCCTGCTGAGCCTCAGTGTGTTCAAATTGCTCCTTTACATTGGCAGGTGCCTCGTCTGGTAGAATGAGAGGAATATCTGTGTTTGCAGCGATTGGTTCATTGGCAGTCACATGACCTGTTTGCAGAAAGGGCCTCCTCCCAGTTTCCAAGAGCCATTGTTGTACATCCTCCATAACATCATTGTTATGTTTTGTTATTTGTTGAAACCAGTTATTTTGTATTTCCAGGTCGTCTTCGGAAAGCAACATAATAACTGATTCATGTGCTGTTTTTGCATTTTCATATTGATGAATTAATTTGTCCAGTTTGAGTTTAACATCCTTTGCATTTTCATCATTTTTCATTAGATGTTTGATTTCCTGTGTGCGTCCTTTAATCTTCTGCACGTTTGACTGACATTCTTTTTGCAGTTGTTCGATTTTGCAAGCCAAGGCTTTACTAGTAAGCTTGACAGTCCTTTTTTCCATTCCATCGTTTGTGTCACTCATATTTGATGCAATATGTGTGGTGCCTTAGCATTTAAAGTAACACGACAGTGTTCACTGGTATGAAACTTAAACCAGCGGGGCCCGCCCGCCATAGCAAAACAAACAATTCGAAAACTTCCGCCGCTCACGGCATAACAAGCGCACAACAAAAGCCAAAGTCTCCAATGGACAAACGGTCACGCTTTCCAAACTGTGTCCAGCAAAAATACACAAGAAAGGATATAATCGTGCCTACCGCTTTTAGCTTGTTGTGCGATGCAGTCAATGAGTGTCCATCAGTGAGTCCTCGTGGCTACTCCAATCCATATCGATTAGGGAAAAACGGTCCGAAGGTTCCAAAGGTACAGAATGTTAAGTCCGTTATCCGAAGCGTCCAAGCGATCCGTTAGCTTAGGAAGCCGGCCGATGCGTCCAGTTCAGTCTCTGATGCGAATCACCGTTTTTTCTGTTGACTTAATGTGGCGGCTCAATCCCCAGTTGCGTTTGAGTCGCCGAGAGGCTAAACTTGGCTATAAACTGTGACGCATTTTCGAAGAGAAAGTCCATAGTGAAGCAAGATAGTTTTTGGGATATTTAATAAACAAAATCATAACATGGACAAAACGGTCAACAGAAAAAATGACAGCACAAGCTCACCCTCTGTCATCCCCACTCGACATGAAACAGGTGACTTAAATAGACAAACCACACCCATGTGACAATTACCGGAAGTGCTCAACAAACAAATAAAAGTGACGTAAACAAATAATAATACAAATAATGAACTTGGGCTAAGTAGCATTATGGCACCTACACTTGCATTTAAATCCGGCTCCCCGTCTCCCCGTGGCTCTGTGTAGCTGGCCTGTACCACTACACCTGCTGTCTTTGGAGCGTCTGCCCCCCACCCTTCTTTCACATAATGGTATGATCCTAGTGTGTCCTCGCATATGATTGGCCGCATGGTGGCTCAGCAAAATAAAGTCCCGGCCCTGCCTGCATGGATTCTCAGCAAGAGTTGCAGCGGCTGAAGATTCTGCTCTCCCCGACGGGAGTCTGCTCTTCAAGCGGCATCTCGCGATCGGCGTGTTGGAGACCCCTTAATTAAAGTATCAAGTCACTTCAAGTCAGAAGGCTCAAGTCCAAGTCAAGTCCCGAGTCATTGGTGTTCAAGTCCAAGTCGAGTCGCAAGTGTTTTGTGATTTTGTCAAGTCGAGTCCAAAGTCATCAAATTGGTGACTCGAGTCCACACCTCTGCAGGAGACCGTGGTGAACGTACTGTTATATTGATTAAAATGACACGTCTCTCTGAACCATTTGAGATAACTCAACAAAACATGAATAACATCGGTGTAGGAGTTTTTTGACATTTTAATGAGGACTTTTTACATATTATAACTTCAAGTGAACAGAAATCCACCTCTGGGAATGCTTTAATTGAAGTTATTTGAATTTTTAAGAGATCTGTTCAATGTGATTGTTGGTTATTCAAAAAAAGTATTTTCCCTGTTTATCTACCAGGTCCAAGGCATGCATTGTCCCAGAGAAATGTCCCAGCAGAGAGCAGAGTCCCAGCAGAGAGCAGCGTCCCAGCAGAGAGCAGAGTCCCAGTAGAGAGCAGAGTCCCAGCAGAGAGCAGAGTCCCAGCAGAGAGCAGAGTCCCAGCAGAGAGCAGAGTCCCAGTAGAGAGCAGAGTCCCAGCAGAGAGCAGAGTCCCAGCAGAGAGCAGAGACCCAGCAGAGAGCAGGACAACACGGTGAGTGTTAACATATTAATCATTTACTCTGTTATACTGGGTGTTAGAAAATAATTTTGTAAATAAAAATATATATTTCCTGGAGTTGAAGGTGACATCTTCAAATGTTGTGAACTTTTGTTATCCATTTCCTGGTTTCTGATTCTTCAGAGTTTCATAACTAGTGACAGCCCAGCGCAGTCAGCATGGAGAGCAGCCTGTCTGAAGTCTGACTGATTTGATGTATTGAAACCAAGTTTATCATTATGGTGGTTTAGATTGACATTGTGTGTGTGTGTGTGTGTGTGTGTGTGTGTGTGTGTGTGTGTGTGTTGTGTGTGTGTGGTGTGTGTGTGTGTGTTGGTGTGTGTGTGTGGTGTGTGTGTGTGTGTGTAGTGTGTGTGTGTGTGGTGTGTGTGTGTGTGTGTGTGTGTGTGTGTGTGTGTGTGTGTGTGTGTGTGTGTGTGTGTGTGTGTGTGTGTGTGTGTGGTGTGTGGTGTGTGTGTGTGTTGTGTGTGTGTGTGTGTGTGTGTGATGTGTGTGTGTGTGTGTGTGAGTGTGTGTGTGTGTGTGTGTGTTGTGTGTGTGTGTGTGTGTGTGTGTGTGTGTGTGTGTGTGTGTTTCACTTTCCTGTCTTTCCCTTGCGGTCTTGCCATCCCTCTTTTTCTCCCAGCCCTACATCCACTACATGCTTCTGTGTGTAGGATTGTTTTGTTTTTTAACACATGCACACACATCCTGATGCACGTGGACACATCTTCAGTGATGTTCCTGTAATCATCAGGGTGTGTCAGATCTTTCAACAAACCCTCCTCCAGGTCAGATCCAGCTGGATGAACACCTGTCAGTCAGAACACAGGCCAGTGAAGGCTTGTTGTAGTAACTTGTCCCCTGTGTGTCTACAGGTTCAGGTGTCCTGGTCCAGGTGAGTTCCAGTGTGCTTCGACTGGCCTGGTGTTCATCATGGCTCAGGAGGCGGAGCTTCTGTACAGGACAGTCCCTTGGGGGGAGAGCCTCCTCCAATCACCTGACAAGCAGGCAGCAGGGCCGCTGTTCGACGTGAAGAGTTCTGTTGAAGCTGCCGTCGTCCAGCTCCACCTGCCACACAGTGAGAGAGAGGAAGGTAAAGACATCTATGTTAACAAATACACACTTATATAATGATTAGCACCTTATACCATCCACTACTGTTCAAAGGTTATGAAGCAGCTTTATTAAACTAGTTTACCAAAGATAGCAACAGTATAATGCTGACACCAAATCTGTTCTTTACATTCAAATAGTTGTGTCCCCAAGAGAAGAACAATTCAATTATAAAACATCCATTTAGTCGATGTGTTTCATGACATCATTGATCATTATTGAAGCAGACGATGCAATGCAGCTCTAAATACTGAGTTGGATTGTCTTTGGGCCCTCTGCAGTCTCCTCACTGTAATATTAAAGAGATGTAAACTGTGATTGGTCAGTCCACAGCATGCTCAGCTGCTAACAGTGCTAACTCAACGCTAACTCTCTGTTACTGTTGTGATGCTAAGCTAGCAGTTTGAATGATTCTTACTTAGTTATCCATCTGTTGCTCTTTCTGCTCTTTACATTGTCAGTCTGGCTGAACCATGAACAAAACAAAACAACAGACAACAACATTTATAAGTTAGACTTTCTACGTCCTGAAAGCTTTAGAGAACTCTTCACACATCTAGAGAGTCACTCAGACATGAGAGCGGACTCAGTCAAGCTGTTCTGACTGCAGATTACAAACATCTCAGCAGTCTTGAAGATTAGAAAATAATGAATAAAGTTTATGCATAACAGCAAATGCTCACATCCAGAAAGATCACAGGGGACAGATCAATAATGAAACATTAGAATAAAAGGTGGAGGATATAAACTGGAGCATCCTAGTGAGGCTCCAAAGTGAATGACATTAGATGAACATTAGCTCTGAACTAAAGTGGTGAGACATTGAATATGATGAAGCTGTTTCAGCAGCAAAGCAACAGATGACCAGCTCTTTGCTCCACAGCGCTGCTCCTGGACGGCCTGTTGTCTGTCGTCCACATCACTGATGAAGGCCTGAGCATCTTGGAGCCGCTGGAGGTCACACGCACTCACGTGGTGGTGAAGGTGCCTCACCTCTCTTCCTTTGGCCTTATCATCAATCCATTGAAAAGGCTTCTAGGGTGGCCGATAAATGGTCAAATTCTGGTGTTCCTACGACCCCCGGACAGAGAGGAGCAAATACTGGATGTACATCTGCTGCAGAACAACGTCCTTGAGGAGGAGGTAAAGTGCTCACCATCAGATTAAACTCTGGTTTTAAACCACAGCTGTTTCCACACACACTGCTCCTCTTCTCAAACCTTCTCGTGCTGGGAGAAGAGTAAGATCTGAACTGTAAATCTTCAGAATGATCTTTGGTTTGTTGTTTTGGTTGGATTCTCTCTCAGTGTGTGTTTCTGTCTGCTGATATAGCACAGTGTTCTTTAGCCTTTTCACTGCCATGCAACTTATGGTGATTATCTGCGCAGGAATTGGTAATGTTATTAAATTGCATACATTTTTCTATTGCGTCAAGGTTTCCAGATTAATCGCGAGTGTTGGAGATGTGGAATTTCATCCAACATTTGTTATCCTACACTCTAATTCATTTACTCACAATATGTCCTCATAATGTTATTCTTCATTGATAGTAATTCTTATCTCTCTGTAGAGCAGGTCGGTCAACATGTGTACATTGTGATGTGGTTTAAAGTGATCAAAGTGTCCTGTTACTGAAGGTTGCTGTCAAACAAGGAGGTGCTGTGAACATCAAGGTCTCCTCCCGCTGTGAGCTGGAACTGTATAAAGGTTACAGTTTGCACTGTGAACCTGAGGGCTTCCTCATTCACCCTGAGGTGAGTCACTGATGCTCCTCTAAAGAAACACAATGATCATTAACACACATGTATCTGCATGTGGATCCACAATCAGGAAAGAAACTGATAAATATGTAACTTCTGCTTCTGGTTTTCAGAGTAAAACTTTTGAATCATGGTTTGGACCAGACTACCATCCGACATTTCTAGTTTCCCTGAAGACGAGCACAGAGAGAGTGTTTTTGAAGGTCAAGGACCAAGATGGAAACGTAGTCTGGAATTGTCCCGTGTCACTGGAAGGCAGGGGCGGACTGGCCATCTGTAGAATCTGGAGAACCACAGAACGGCCGGTGGTCAAGGGCAGTTGACGGCCGGCCGGCCCTTTAATTGTTTTTGGTTTAACTTCATCATTTAAGTTGCGCTTCCGGCCGACAGAGGGCGACAGCGGCCGCTAATGCAGTTGTGTGGTTCTTATCTGTCAAATAATCACACACGAAGAAGAAAAAAGACCGGCCACACAGACGCCGCAGCAGACAGGGAGAATGACAAAACATGGATAAAAATCTAAGAAAAAGGAAAGAAAAAGGTGGGGCCGAGAAGGCAAGAGAAAAAAAGGTGAAGTTACTCGCAGGTAATGCTAATAAATGTCGCAAATTGACAGACCTTTTTGGCAGCAGTGCTGCTACAACTACAAGCACTATCATCACCAGCAGCTTAGAACAAGTGCATGATGAAGACGAGAATGATGAGGGCGCGATGTCATATATACAGCCAGCCTCCTGCGTTCATGAGGGACAGAGAGTTGAGCTGGTGGAAGAACCAGCTCAACTGGCACATGCAAGTGCAGGGCAAGAGCAAGAGGTGGTAAGTACTATAGAGAAGACAAGTATATTCAACCTAGTTTTTCCAGTTAGTGTGTGTTGCTCATGTAAGCAATTCAATAAATAAAACTGAGAGTAGGTGTAATAGACTAATATTAAAAAAAAGTATAGATTAAACAAAAGTGTATTACTTGTCAACATTTATTAAGTATTAATTCAAGTAGTATAGTATTATAAAAATAATTAACATTATTTTTAACATTAATTTATAATTGTCTAGGTTGAGGATGGAACAAGGGCTGAGGATGACAGCCACTCACACGGCAGCTCAAGCCTGAGGTATTTTCAACGCCCAAATTCTGACAATCACAGTCTCAATAGTTTTTTTTCCTATCACCCTCAGACCAAAACAAAATATTTGACAGTACAAAGACTGTTTAAACGCATGAACGGCACAGATAGAAAATGGCTCACATACTGTGAAGAGAACCACACATTGTATTGTGCAGTATGTTTAGCATTTGCCAAGCCATCTGAAAACAATCCCTTTGTAAGTGGCATGCAGGACTGGAACCATATCAGTCAGAGAGTAGAGGAACACGAAAGGACCATCATGCATAGAATGTGTGCGGAGGCCTACTTTTTGAGGGCATCCAAATCAGACATAGCCAGCCTACTACATGGATCACAAGTAGTGGCCCACAGAGATCAAGTGAAGAAGAAACGGCAGGTGTTGGAACGTGTGGTAGATGTAGTAAAGTTCATAGGAAAGAGAGGACTTGGCTACAGAGGGAAGGAATATGAGGCAGCATACACTCTAGATGATGACAACATTGACCATGGGAATTTTCTAGAGCTCATCATTCTTCTTGGAAAATATGATGTGTGTCTGAAAGAACATCTCACTCAGTGCACAGAAAAAAGTAAGAAGATGCACCAGTCACACTCACAGGCTAGAGGTCGGGGTTCTGCTGTAACATTCTTGTCCAAAACAACTGTAAACAACGTCATTTCCACAGTGCAGAGGCTAATTCAGGAGACCATTGCAAAAGAGGTTGCTGAAAGCGGTATGTTTTCTGTACAAATAGATACAACCCAGGACATTACGTCCCATGAGCAGTGTTCTGTGATTCTGAGATACGTCACAGACACTGTCCAGGAAAGGCTTCTGGCAGTGGTCAAATGTGAAGCATCCACTGGCCAATATTTTGTCCAGATGCTGACAGATGTAATGGATCGTTTTGATTTGGATATCAGCAACTGCATCAGTAATGCTACAGATGGTGCGTCCAACATGCAGGGTCAATATCGAGGCTTCTCCGCACTCCTGTCATCCAAAGTCCCAAACCATGTACATGTTTGGTGCTATGCACATGTGCTAAACCTCGTTCTGTCTGATACAACTGAAGTGTCCATAGCTAGTGGGTCCCTTTTCTCCCTCATGAATGACATTGCTGTGTTCATTCGTGAGTCATATAAAAGAATGAATGTGTGGGAGCATAAAAGCCAGGACACTCGACACAGACGCCTCTCCCCAATTGGAGAGACACGGTGGTGGGCTAAAGATGTAGCCTTGAAGAAGATCTTTGGCTCATTTGGAAAGCCAGACCAGGCTCTGTACATTGATGTCGTCATGACACTAAGTGAATTTCAAAGTCAGGCCAATTTGAAAACTGCAGTGCGTGTCAGAGCAAGAGGATTCTTAGAGGCGCTCCTGAGGTACGAGACAGTGTTGACTGCCCAGCTTTTCCTTCGGATTTTTGAAGTGACAACACCTCTTTCAAAATACTTGCAGACATGTGGACTAGATATCCTGTCTGCCCACAGGATGGTTCTGGACACTCAACATGCACTGATGAACATGACAAGAGATTTCATGACAGTGAAGACAGCTGCTGATACTTTTGTTGAGTGGGCAAATGCAAAACTCGAGGCAGAAGAGGACTGTGAGCTTGAGTTGGAAACAACACTTCCACTGAAGAGGAACAGGAAAAGGAAGATGATGGCTGGCGAAATGGCAAGTGATGAGAGATTGACAGATGCAAACAGGGCCTATGAAGTAGAGGTCCATAACCAGGTCCTGGATACTGTCACAGACAGTATCAAACGACGCTTCATGACCCACGGCACTCTGTATGCTGACTTGGCTGTCCTTGATCCAAGAAACTTTCCCCAAGTGTGTTCAGCAGAAGCTCTGCCTGACTCTACTTTTCAAGATCTAAGCAAATGCTTGCTTAAATTTGACAGCAGGGCAACTGCTGCAAATTTGCAGTCTGAGTTGAAGTGTCTGGCAGCCCAGTGGCCACGGCTTAAAATGTCTGCACTTGAAGAGTACAGAGTAAGAATTTGCTCTGGTTGTGAGGAAGAAGAGACAGAGGTTTTAAACAAACAGTGCAACTCTTGTAAAGAATGCTCAATATGTTGCTACCAACTTCTGAAACGCTACAACCTCTTCACAGATGCCTATCAGCTCCTTGGTTTAGGATACAAGTTTCTTCTCACTCTGCCTGTGACACAGGTAGCTTGTGAGAGAAGTTTCTCTGTACTCAAGCACATCAAAAGCCGAATAAGGAGCACACAGTCACAAGAACACCTGGAAGCATTCATGCTTATGTCAACAGAAAAAGACATCCTCATGTCCCTCGACAATGACTTGGTCATCGACAGAGTTGCAGAAAAAAGCAACCTACTAAAGAAACTGCTGATCCCCCAACATTAGGTTTACAAACCGCCTCAGACAATCTTGTTTATTTGTTTTAGGTGACAATTATCCCTTAAACTGCAGCCTAATAAACATCTGATTTTGGTGTGTGTACTGCTTTATGATGTCCCATGTGTTAAAACATCTGAGGAGTGTCCTCCCTCTTCTCTTTAGGGGAGAATTTATCCCTTGAACCGCATAATAAACAGCTGATTTCCAATAACTAATAGTACTGTATTATTTTTATCTGATCTCCGCCCCCCCCCCCCCCCCGTTGACATGACATGTGGCCGGACTGGGTCAGATTCCAGGGCTGAATTTTAGTCCCAGTCCGCCCCTGCTGGAAGGTAAAGACTCCACCTGAGCTCAGACCCAGTGATAGACTGGATAACTCTAAAGCTCCATCTCAGAGCCTTTTCTATTAAAGGTTTTTGTTAATATTTGTTATGGCATGTGTCACACGTACCAATCAGTCTCTCGATGTCTGTATTTATTCCAGGCCAGAAAACACTGTCTCTCGCCCGTCTTTTGCATTTTTCAACACCCAGATGACCTTCATGTATTCTTTGTAGTACTTCCTGTTTCAATGCGCGTGGAATGACAATCCTGTGTTGTTTCAGTAATAGTCCATCAACGACACTCAGTTCACCTCTGATGTGGTAGAAGAGCGTACAGGAACCTACAGGCCATCCATTTAGCATATTTGCAATGACACACTGCAGCTCTGTGTCTTTTGCTGTTTCTTCAGCTATCTGTCTGGACTTTGTGTCTGATACAGGAAGAGCAGCAGACACCATGTTCACATGACTTCTCACATCCTCTTCAGTTGTACTCACATTATCCACTGTAGGTGCTCGTGAGAGAGCGTCAGCAAGTATCAGGTGCTTTCCAGGTGTGTAGATCCGCTCAAAGTCATATCTCTGCATCTTCATCATGAGACGCTGTATCCTTGGTGTCATTTCACTTAAATTCTTTTTAATGATGGATTCAAGTGGACGATGATCTGTCTCTACTGTGAATGAAGGTAGGCCATACATGTAGCTGTGGAACTTCTCCAAGCCATAAACCAGTCCCAGACATTCTTTTTCTATTTGAGCATATCTGCACTCAGTCTGTGTCATTGTGCTTAGGCCACTGGTTTCCAATGCTCGCCCTCAACTTGTAGGAGCACTGCGCCTATTCCATCCTTTGAAGCATCTGTTGAAACTTTAATCTTCTTTGTTGGGTCAAAGAATGTCAATACAGGTGCAGTTGTCAGTGTCTGTCTGAGTGTTTTCCACTCTTGCTCATGTTTGACTGTCCATTTAAACTCATTTTCTTTGTGCAGGAGCTCACGGATGCAAGATGTCTTTGCAGATAGGTTTGGAATAAATGTACCTATGAAGTTGACCATCCCCATAATGCGAAGTACACCTGTCTTGTCTGTGGGCCTTGGCATATCCTGGCTCTGATCTTTTCTTGGTCAGCTTGTATACCTTGTGCAGAGAGCTTGTCTCAGAGAAAGACAACTTCTTGAACTCCAAACTCGCATTTGCTCTTCTTAAGCTTGAGTCCATACTTGTGTATGCGCTCCAGTACTTTTTTCAGCCTCTCATTGTGTTCTTGTAGTGTAGAGCTCCACACAATGATGTCATCAAATTTCTCGAACACCATCCAGCCCCTCAATGATGTGCTCCATCGCTCTGTGAAATATTTCGGATGCTGAGATGATCCCAAAGGGCAGTCTGAGGAAGCAATATCTGCCAAATGGTGTATTAAAGGTGCAATATTTGGTTCATCCAGTTTCAGCTGCCAAAAGCCTTGAGACGCATCAAGCTTTGTGAAGAAGCTGGCACCTGCCATTTCA